ATGAACAAAGTAGAAAAATTCCATATTACTACAAGTTACAAACTTGTAGTAATAAATGCATATGGAATTTTTCTAAGTTTGTCTACTTTGTTCGAATGACAAGAAATAGAATGTATGGTCATTTTTAAAATGACAGAATTCTCTACATTTTTAATCCCTATCGTTCCTAATGTAATTTTAATGATTATTACAGGGGATCCTAAAATTTACTTTTTAGCACTATTAATTCAAAATATCACCTTTGAAGTCTAATTTTATAGTTCAATAGTCCAATTGATCTTAATCTCCTGCCCATAAAATCATGCTGTTTGCTTCAAAACTTACTGACAAAATGTAGCCTCAAGGTAAGAAAATGATTAAAGTAAACTGCCTTCTTATGGAGAAATCTTCAAATGTCATTTTTAAAAAAATGAAAGTCATGGAACCCAGTGACAGACCCCCAAAGCTTATGGTCTTACCAGCTTAGACCTTGCAACTAATACTCTCCCAACACCCACCAAACTGTTTTTTTTGTTTTTTTTATCTTGGACCTAATGACAGATACCAAATATTTCAGTCATTATAAATTGATCATTTATGCTAACTAAATTATCTGAAAAAGAACCCCACTTTTTTTGGATTTTTCTTTTGTGTTTTTATATTTACTTACTTGATAAAATATCTTTTCAAGAAAAATGTTTAACACACAAGTTAATTTCTGATTATGTATGCATTAATCAAATTTTAATAATTAATTTTACTTTGTCGTGAAGTGCTTAGAGGAATTAACCAATAAGGTAATTTGTGATAAATAAGTACTAATTACTATCCATTATAATTAATAAGAAACATATTATTATAACTAGAACAGGAATTACACAAATAGGTTTTTTTTATATACGATAGATTTTCAATACAGATAAAATTTAGAACAAAACATTTCAAAAGAAAGTTTTGGCCGACTATCATTTGCAATCAGACCGTGTTATTATAGGCAAGAAATACCCCCTCGAGGTACATCCTTAAAAGCACATAAAATCATACCGAGACTTAAGTGCGGAAAAATAACAAATTTATAAAATAAAAACTGCTACAGGCCATTCAGTATGATTTAGCAAATATGTTTAGTTCTATTACGTATGATATGAATAACTAGGCCTGGATTGGGGAAGATGGTGGGGCTTGTTGTTATGAACATGCCCATGTGTTATCTTCTAGAATTAAAATATTTTGATAAAATCTTTACCATCATAATGTGTTTGAATTGGGAACAAGATAATAACCTAATATAGTAATATTTGAATTTATTACAATATTCTTCCATTTTATAACAGCATGATGCTAAAAATCGTTAACAATATTATATACTGCCCCCAATGTTTGAGTTAAGAACTGTGAAGAAAATTTTATATTAATAAATTAATATCATTAAATTTTTTTAACAGAGAAATAACAAGAAAAACTCAAATTTATGATTATTTAATTTAATATACAAGTAAATTTATTAAACATTTTTTTAATAATTTCAACAAAAATTATATTTTTTTGTAAACAACTACAGTTTGGTTCAACTCATGTGATGATATCGATAATGGTAAAGTGAAAATAAGGGTTTGGCGTATAGTTATAAAACTATTTCAAATATAAATAGTACAGTAGGCCATCTTACTTGGCCTCATAGCTCGGTTGAAGGGCAACCAAACGGTAATTGGTGGGTCTTGATTATGATTCCTGAGAGAAAAGATATGTTTTTCTGTTACCACCATAGAACATCGAAGTACGATAAAAATCGGACTTCTTACAAATGCTTTGTGTGGGCGACATAAAGGTCAATTTTGCGGGTACAGATTTCAACAAACACCTTACAGGGCAGCAAATTTGTAAAAGTAGAAAAATAGTTCAATTCTGAAATCAGTAGAAAAAGTTAATCCCTATTCAAATCAATGCTCAACACACTATCAAAATTACAAAAGTATAATAAGGATTTAATATAACACTTGACTTTGGATTATTTTAACTAAACTTCTTGCAATGTAATCTTTTTTAATGGTATCTAGCAAGTACAGCCGATTAAACAATTATAATTCAACAAGCATGTGTAGCATATTTTTGAAAATGTTGTAAAATTATTATTAATACATAAGATGTAGTCGGCATTTGCGTAAAGGGAAGAAGTTGTAATTTGTAATTTCCAGTTTATCTTGACTGTCAACTTTCAGTTTTGTAGCACTGAAAACTGAAATATTAAAAAGTATACAATGATCTTTTACATTGATTATTCTCCCTCAATAGATGCCATAGCTTGGGGCATCCGGTGGGGGATTCTTTTGCATCGTAATACTTACAGTATTTTGTTTTCGTCATAGTCTATTCCGAAGACTTTGTACCCCAACATGGGCAAGACATGTGCTCGAGGAGGATCTGTGAAGGCTCCAGCAATGGCACCCTCTCAAGTATTCACAATTAGCATTATATTGTATGGATCAGGTGGGAGCAATTAGCTAAAAAATATTACCAGAATTTTTTATCACTTTGTAATGAACTACACAGTGAAACACCAGAAACGTTTTGATACTGATATATTCCCACTGGACCACACTGTACGCTTAGTCCAGAAGCAGTCCCAAGTGTAGCCTGCTCAAAAATGTTATCTTTTGTTTAATCTGGGTGCTACGAGTTGGACATCCTCCATGGGAAGTTGGTGAATGTGGAACGCTTTGCTTGTGAGCAAATTCCAAGCAAAAGCGTACTTTCTGCAATTGGTACTGCACACTCATAATAATACTACATTAAATGAATCTAATTAAACACATGTGTACTACAGTATGAAATTAAGACCATTTTAATCCAGATCTTCCTTTTAAAAGTTCTGTTTATCTTACAAAGTTTAACTGATTTCCAGGGAATTCACAACCATAAAATAAAACAAAGGGGGTTCAGAGATCCCCAGGGTAACAGAATTTAAGTTACTAAGAAGGTATGTAGTTATGGTGGGCGGAGTTCGGTGGGGCCATCCAGCCTCAAAGTTTTCCACTCAATCTTTAAAGCTAATTTCACAGCCCTTAACCTACTTTATTAACCTTCTTGCCCATCCTTAAAATCCACTCTTAGTGTTTAGAGTTTACCAATGTAAAAAATAACCCACCCACCCTTAAAATGTCTACCACCCACACTTAGTTTCCTCAACACTGAGCATGGTAGAGCCAAAGGCTTTTATAGTATAACATCTCAAAATACACTTCATTTTCAGCAGAAAAAATTTTGATTTCTTTAATGTAAAAAAAATTACCTGTTGGTCGAGCTCACTTTGTAATGCCATAATCTCCTCTTCTTTGATCTGACATGACCTCACCAGTTTGCGCATTTCTTTAGACGTCCGAGAGGATTCCTGATTTTCCTCGCGCCCCAGTTTAACTGAGGAAAGCTGATTGGCCATTTCTTTCACCTATCAAAATAATACACCCGAGTTAACATCTTCAAGGAAAATATCTTGGCAATATTTCAACAATAGAATGATTCCGCTTCAAATTAAATACAAAAAAAAAAATTTCAGGTAGTTGTAAAAAATTTTGATTAAAAAATATTTTCCCTGTTAGCTTGACATCCAAATAAATAAAATTAATCCTTACCAAAATTTTACTCTTATATATAATTTTCCCTGTTTCACAACCTCATTGTATAAAGCATTTGAGCAAAGTGTTCTGGAAATTTTAAACCCAGGACAAAAATCGAATCCGTCACCCATGAGCCAATAGCTACCGATATTCATCAACGCACTGCTGGCGCATTAACGGAAAGCTACGATGACGCCTGCCAGGAAGTATGGTTTTGACTTTGTACAAATCAAAGTGTGCGTTGCGATTCCCTAGTCAATTACTCTCAGATACCTCGCTGAAAACTGCTGTATTTCCTGTGTTAACCAACTGGAGAGGCATTCAACAAGTCTAATTGCAATATTCACAGTTGTTAATTAGAAAATTAATTGCTTTGAAGTATCGGCTTAATCAAGAAAATGCATTTCAAGTTGATAGTGGATTAATCTGGAATTGATGTAGGAACACAAGCATATTATTTATAAAAACTGCAAAAGCCTAATTATACTTGAATGAAAATAATGTTTATAGTTATAGCAATAAAAGTAGTGATAATAAAAATAATAGCAATATTAATATAATTAATACAACAAGCAACAACAAATATAATAGTTTTAATAATTATTATTTTGATTTTAATATTCAGTTTATCTGAAAAAAAAAAGTATATTCATGAATTATTTATTACAAAAAATATCAAATCATTGTAAATACTTTTTTATACTCTTATCATTTTTAAAAGTTTCTTATACTGTACTTTCATAATAATAATAACATTTTGGAGGGGACCATTTGTTATTATGATTTAATTGTGTTATTGTTATATTATCATTAATGGCTTTGACAATTACAAATCAACAAATTATATTAATAATACTTACGATTTTTATCATATTGAAACACATCACATGCATAAAAATGGTAACTTGATTGAATGGCAACAAAAATTGATTATTGTGATCCAATTCATTAACATAATGCTCTAAAAATATTAGTACTTCTCTGTGAACTGTGTTTATCTTAGTGTAATTTCTTTATTTAATGCATATTTTGTTTTACAATTTAAAACGGAGGTTAAACTTGATAGAAATCTCTAACAAACTCCAAAACTGTAGGTATATTAAGTGATGTGTTCTCTCATTTATAATTTTAATCATTGATATTTAGTCACTAGAGGGCGCAATTCAATTATCATGAAACTTCCAAATGTTTATTTTTCTATGTATATAACTATATATTCTGTATATAGTATATATAACTATATATTCTATATATTTTATATATATATAACTATAAATATAGGAACGACTGATTAATGTTTACTTATAAATGTGACATTTATATTATTGTCCTAATAGTAACAATCATATTCAATGCGTAACAAGATCCTTCCCCTAGAAACTTTTTGATTCATGTGTAAATATCCAAGTAATTCTAAACAAGCTTTCTTCCATTTATTTGTAGTACCAAGTGGAGAGAAAGAGACACACACAAACAGATAAAAAAGAAAATGATTTCACACAAGTACCTAAGTGAAATTTCAGTAAAATTAAGAAGATACATACCAATATAAACTTTAAAAGACTACCTACTAACAGTGAATTCCTACTGTATATCCATGGGACCTTGGGTGACAAAACTGAAATGGTGACTTTTATACACAATTTAATTTCATTTGTGAAAAAGTTAACCCACGCATAGTTAATTAGGAAGGTCAAGTCAGCATACTGGGTCATGATAAAAGTGATGAGGCAGACTACATGCAGACTTAATATAGTTTATCGCATTTTATATCACTTAAAATATGGTTGATTAAATTTGTTAAAATCATCAACAGGTGACAGTAGAAATTCCAATGCTGATCATGTGATCATACAGAGGGCTTTAACCTGATCACATTTCCTTCAATTAATGTAAAAACTCTGTCCTATATAACAGCAAAATTCTGCAGATTTCATGAGGATGGCCCAACATTATTAATTATACGCCAGCCCTATCTAACGCCAGATGTATGTTAATCCGTGGCGCCCACACTTGGCGATTAACGAACGTTAGCGCAAGTATTCCTGTTTACATCTAGGCTAATATTGTGATTGGTCAAATCTTGGCCGAGTTCAAAATCATTGATGCATGACTGTCGTAACTCAGTAGCATACGCTAATCTGGGGTCACGCCAGCGATCGCACAATAATACTGGTGTACGCTAAGCTCTGCACAAGTTCACGCCACTCGATTAATGTTACGCTAACGTAAGTCGTTGTGTCTGAACATAGCCAAGTCATTTACCAGCACTTCAAAATTAATGGAATGATTGATTGAATGATTGATTTATTGATCACTCCATCGATCTCAAGATTCATTTTTATTGACTTGTCCATAAAAACTACTAGTTAATTGATTGATTTAACTAAATGATATTATTGTATGAATATATTAAAATATAGATTGATAATAATAATATAGGTTTTTAATATAATGCCTTATGATAATTTCTCAGAGTGCTATTACACACAATTCCTTAATAAATATTGGGAGCTGGTTCCATAATAATGGTGCACTGGCAGAAAAAGATCGAAAGCCATATTTAGAAAAGACAAGCCAAACCAGTCACTTGTTGCAAAAATCAATTTTTAATTATTGATACTGGTTTAAAGATGAAAAAGAGAGCTATAAAATGGTAAAAGAATAATTTAAATGCAACATTTTTTCCTTATGAAGTTACAAGCTTTATACACATACAGCTATTTAAAGAACAGTACTTGAGAAATCAGCCTTCAAAGTTTATGATTTCGTACATTTGGCCACCGTGAGAAAATGATTGTTGAGCAGGTGAGCATGAGAAGGAGCGCTGAGGCGTGATTATCACGCCGTAGACGTGAGACTTGGTAGGTCTGCAGCACCTATACATACCCTGAAGTGGGGTTGCACATACCATGGAGGTATAAGTAACTGCACCGATACATACCATGAGATTAGTTGGTACTTATTTGCACAATGCATTTTAATCTAGATTGGCACATCATATCTGCACTAATGCATCTTTTGTTGGGGAGGCTTGACATGCATTTATACTTGTTCCAAAACATACCAGGTCAACATTTATGCATACCCTGTGGGTTGGCAGGTGCACACCTGCACCAAACCTGAGTTTGGCAAGTATACTTGCATCAATGGAAACGCTGAGGTAGGTTGGCAATTACTTGTATCAATTAGTATACTGTAATAGTTGGTACTGCTTGCACCATTGCAGACCTTGAGTTGGTTGGCATGTACTTGGGCCAATGCTGACCATGGGCTGGGTTGGCACACGCACCATGGAGGCTCGCACCGATGCAACGCCTGAGCATATGGTTGGCATGTGCTTGCACCATTGTAGACCTTGAGTTTGGTTGGCACGTACATGTGCCAATGCAGACCCTGGGCTGGGTTGGCACATACTTGCACCAATGCAGACCTTGCACTAGCTGGGTACGTTGCAGACCTAAACTCAGTGGGCATGTTCTTGCACCAATGTAGACCATGAACTCTTGTTTATAATGCCATATGAATGGTCCCACTAAAGGAGGCTGCTAAGCTGTCCAAAAAGGAGTATGAAAATTTCAGATTGAAACCTGCAGTCAAAGGGGCGAAGACCTGATGAGAACTGAGGACTTAACCCTTCTGCCACCTAAACTGGAAATATTTGGCTATTCTAAGATGTTTTGCATGTATTAAAGGTCAAATTTCTTTAAGTAGAAAAAGTCTTAACTAAATGGTGGCCTTGGCTCACCTGACCATTCTCTTTGCTGCCTACATATTGTAATTAAGAAAATATATTCTAGCTACAGCACCCAGATCCCAGTTCTTTATTTCCCTGGTCATCGAATACATTAAACAGGCATGCACCATGTGCGACTTCCTTCACTCCCTGGGGAATAATCCTAGCGCGCATGTAATTCGGCACAGACCATTCCGGATAATTCACATCCTATTCGGTACCCATTTATAGCCTACTGCTGGGCTGAGTGAAAAGAGAGACAAATGTTAAATGTGTCTTGGCCAAGGGCACAAGCATCGGATTTGAACTCGTAAGTCATGACTATCAGTCGAAGGCCCAAAGGTTTAATGCTGTTTGTATTAGTCTAGATAATAGGGAGTTTTCACAACCTCACGAAAACAATAACGAATATAAATTCGTATTATCTTGGTTGTCAATCGTGCCTAAAACAATCTTAACAATATGCTATATGAGCTGACTATGATCCATAACTCATGCAAAAGGCATGAATTGCCTATGTTGTGACAAATATTCTAATGTAGGAAAAGGGTTGTATATAAATTTGACGACGTATCCGTATTCATTATCGTAAGCTTACGAAAACTTCCTATGAACATGATGTTACGTAATGATTATATACCATCTTAATATTTGGCACTGAATACCTGCAATTATCTTTACAGACATAAAGACACTGAAGAAAATATAAATTGCAAAAAGAAACAGCATAAGAAACAAAAGAACAAATAAATATTTTAGAATGTTTTTTTTTTTTATAGAATCGTTACTCCTCAGAAGCAAAACTGCTATATGAGAAGGGCAGAAAAGCCAGGAAACAGAAATCAAGAGCAACGGAAGAAAAAAAAAACACAAGGGGGAAAAACAAAAAGTTGACTTAAAAACGACTCTAGGTGTGTGCTTAATATATGACTGAATGTTTGTTTAGAAGTTGAATCAATCACCGTTACGGAAAATTATTGCAAAGCTTGGAGAACATGTTAATAGAAGACTTTGATGTACATGACTGACAAGTGAAAGGCGGACGGACATTATAATGGGAGAGGGTGGCTTGCCCTATATGAACTCTGCGAAGAAGCAAGGGTCCAATTTTATTAGGATGAATGTAAGACCAAAATTAATTACACTATTAACTTGACCAAAGTGAACCCTTGTGTAACAGCTCTTTAGGCAAACCAGGTGATGATACGCAAGTATTTCTGAATACTTGCACGTACTATCACCTTACCTGTACATCTACCAAGTTACTCAGCACACCTGTCAAATAATCTACGTTTATGTATAACACATGTGACAAAACCTGCAGAAAATTGAATTACCGGATCACATACACTACTTCCACATGAATGTATGACATCACCACGACCATGGAATGTGACTTCATAGTGGCAAGTTTACAACAGCACCTAGGGTACTGACCCCATGTTAAACCTTTATGTAGAGCTTGATTCGATCCAGAAACTTTCATTAAAAAACTGGAGTTGTGGATGTTATAGAGCTGTTTCTAAGTTCATGTTTCATCCATATTTGAGTCATATTTTGGCACTTGCATCATTATTTAAGAATCTGCACAAGCTTGTATACAGGGGTTATGATAAGTGTATAGGCACTACTTCATCCCAATCCCAAATAAATAGAAGTTTTGCACATTTTTTATGACACAGACTGAAGACCATTGCAAACCATCTGCGGTATTGGTTGAATGATTGTGAATAGCGTAAAAATATATAAAAACTCCATAGATGAACAGAAAAAAATTTAATAATATAACAGTAACAGATATTTATAAACCTCCATAAAAAAGAAACAGCATTCCCACTGTGATCCAGTTCGCATCCCATCAGAAGTTAGGAACAGGTTTCCCGGTCGTATGGGCAGAATTCCTGGTTGTACAGGTGGGATCCAAACAAAAATTCCACTGGGATACACAGTAAGCAATTTAGATCTTGGTGTTTATTAAAATAAAATAAGTATATCATGTTTTATAGTTTTATACTAAATTAAATTATAAAATAGTGTATCTAAAGTTCTTTACATCTTTTATAGGCATACCTGCATTTCAGCATTATCCCTCCTCGATTCAGCATCAACAATACGTTGTTCTAACTGTAGCATCTGAAAATTTAATTTAAAAAAAACCTTGTTATTAGTTAAATCAACTAAATAAAAATATAATCATTTAATATTTTCAATAATTTCATGTAGTATGGCATTTTCAAATTGAATATTTCTTACCTTTCAATTTTATTTTGTATACCTTTTTCATATATATATATATATATATATATATATCTATTATTATGAGATATTATTATTGTATTTTATATGTATTTTATATATACTTCATTATGAAATATAGAAATTGAATCATAAAAAAAACCATTTTTAATTGGTTGCTATGCAAGTTCATTTGGCATGTGTATGTAAAATTATGAAATTATTGTCTTCTTTGAGAAAGTACTGTACGTCAGGGAGTCATGAAACATAGTGGATGTTGGAATGAATGTTTATTTTATATGATGGTCTGAAGTTTTGCTTGTGCAATTTGAGTACTTATTTAAAAAATGTGTATATGACATATAGGCACCTTCAAATAATAGGTAACCTTGTGTGTATTTGAATTTGACGAATGCTGTAAAATGTGATTTATTCTTAATTATTTTGATATATTTGACAGACTCGGTGACTTCCAGTGGAAAGTCAATTTTTTGTTTATCATAAATCACTGAATTCATGATTTTTTATTTCTTAGCCAATGCCTATGCAAAAAACAATTACCATTATTAAAGTGACTGAGCACAAGGGCACCAAATTATCATGTACACAAAGGTGGAAGACAATAAAGGGTGAGGCCTAAGCCTCACCGCACTGTTTTAAATACCTCTGATGAAAACTTCCACATCTATGATGTTGTTGTCCCACAAAATGACAGTGTAAACTTATAAGACAACATGTAATTTTGGAAAGTGGGAATATTCCTGGCCCTGTTTTGTTTGAACAGTTGTTAAATTTGATTGGCACTCAGAAGGTCAATATAAAGAAGAGTAAATTTTATAATCTGTGATTGAAGCCAGTGTTTTGTATTTCAAAATTTTGCATACATTTTCATTCTGGATTTCCAATTCAGGATTCCAAATCTCCATAAAGTTATTTTATGAGCTGTTTCAATAACCTAGTCAGAAACCAGGTTCCAGCAAATGCATAACTATCTAGCAATTTAAAATTTTTGGGGGTTACATATTTAATCTATACCAAAACCACATGTTATTTGCATTAAAGTTCATAATATTCAATCAAATTTCAAAAGCCTTAAAAGCCAAAATGTGCATGGGTTAACAATAGCGATGAACCTGCTTACTCTCTAGGATCACTCTACTTCTAACTAAAAATATATATTTTTTCATTTTAACATTTCATGAAAAAGTTATATATACATTGACAGATAAAAACAAAGGAAAAAAGGGCAAATATTTAAGAAACGACAAAAACAAAACATATCTCTCAAACTTAAATTACTGTTAACAATGAAGAAATATAAAAGACAGTCAAGATTTGTTTCTACCAATAAAGACACAAAAGTTAAAAAGCTATAAGCACATAAAAATTCTGAATCCACAATATGTAAATTTTAACTATGGACTAGAATTTATGTTATTTGACTATATACTAGAAATAATTCCTTGGAAGTTAAATCTAGGAGGTATGGTTAAATCTACACTGTTCCTATGAAGAAATAGAAGTAGGAAAATCAAGCTCATGGAAACAGAATCAAACACGTATCGTCAATGTAGTTCTCTATCTTTCCAACCTTGAAAACAACATGGTAAACGGAATTGTTTCGGGAAAAGAGAAATTATACAAACCATTTGACATTTGATTTACAACATAAGTCACGGCTCATCTATTACATTCCAATACAGCAAAATAAGTCCAATAAAACCCACAGGTTCTACAACATAACCACACAATCCAGAAAAATAATCACCGTCTACAGTATGTACCTATGAGTCTGGGAAAATTTAAGGTAAAGTAATCAAGCTGGACAGATCATGTACAATGTTCAATAACTTAATACACACACATGATGTCATGTTCAATATGGTAATTAGTTCCGAACAGCCACAAAAACATTGTATAGAATTACTGCAATGAGTTCCCAATTCAATGAGACATAAATGAGGAGTAATCCGGTTGCAAGCTATTTCACTTAAGGATGTTTAACTGTAGTACTTCCTAAGTACCGCATACTTGGAAAGTATTAAAAACTCTGTCCTTAATGCAAATACTACTTATAGTAAACTGTCCCATGTGGTGTGGTATATATTCAGTACACTTTATATCAAGGGTCCAAAATGGCAGTCCACGGACCAGCGATCTGGCATCCAAGTGGACTCAGTCCAGCCTACCTACTGTACAATCAATAGCATATCTGGAGGTGTTAACATGAGGAGCTGATGGAAAATGTTGGGGCCATTAGCTGGGGGAATATATAGTTGAAACAGGTATTGCTTGTTTGCTCATTATAATTATCAGTGGGATGCCATGGGGTGCAAACATTTTCTGACGCTTATACTCCAAATTTCCCCTCAGATGCCACTGCCTATGATATAAAAAACCTTTAGGCTAACTATACATTTAAATACATGGGATTAACACTAGAGTAGTAATAACAAAACTACAAGGACAGATATATGATTACAAACAATATTAACAACAATACTTATAATAACTAGTCACTTGTGAGTCATCAAATTTCTACCAAAACCACATTGCTATGTATTTGCCATTTAGAGTCCTGGTGTGTTACTTGACTCATCTTTGTAGTACTTCCATAAACAGCTTTAATTCTACCACTTTGTTTGCTCATTATAATTATCAGTGGGATGCCATGGGGTGCAAACACTTTCTGAAGCTTATACTCCAAATTTCCCCTCAGATGCCACTGCCTATGATATAAAAAAAACCTTTAGGCTAACTATACATTTAAATACATGGGATTAATACTAGAGTAGTAATAACAAAACTACAAGGACAGATATATGATTACAAACAATATTAACAACAATACTTATAATAACTAGTCACTTGTGAGTCATCAAATTTCTACCAAAACCACATTGCTATGTATTTGCCATTTAGAGTCCTGGTGTGTTACTTGACTCATCTTTGTAGTACTTCCATAAACAGCTTTAATTCTACCACTCAAAAGCTAATCCATAGGTTTCTTTAGAGAAAAAGAAACCTAAATTTCAATAAAGAAAAGTCTACATTGTTCTACTGGAATTATTTCAAGGGTTGAATGCTTGAAAAAATATAAATATGTTTTAAATGATATTCATTTTCCTACTTAATATGAATTTGATGATTCTGGTAAAACACAGATATGATACTCCTTTAATACCAAGCTTTGAAATATAAATACAGTAGAGGTTTATTTAGCTTAGTTTAAAGCAACATAACAGATCCCACAGGAAATGGGCCATTGTGGATTTCTAGCGGGTTATCTTGTCAGTGATCAACAGTATCGTTTTCAAAATAATGTCGTATGAAATCTCTCCATCCTGTTAAAGTATTATCTTTGCTTTCACTGAGGTATGGAGTGTGAACAGACATGTGATTACATTCCTAATCCTTAAACAGCACTTATATCACAACCACTTTCCATTATTCTGGAGCACCTCACATCATACTTCACGAGTTGTTCTATCTATGTGAGACTATACCGTAGTATAAAATCTACGATTCTCATTACCCCGCCTTCAGCCAAGTTAATCTTGCTTTTTAGTTCAACCTAGCATACTACGGCCCGTGCTGTCCAGCACAGGGGTTAAGCCCCTCTTAATTCTCACTGGCACCACTCCTACACCAGTGAAAAACGGACTGCAAATGGAAAGTGACATTGTTCCAAAAACTAAACACAAGACAGGGCCCAACTAAATGACAAGGACATCATGTTACCCCTCCTCATGTCATGCCTTAGAATATCAAATGCTGCCATTTTTATGTTATCTGAATAGGTCCTGAATATGACCAGTCAGAGGCAATCAAGTTACCCCTATCCTCAAGTAATGAACTACTCTTTGGAGACACAAACATCTGTTTATATGACACTTTAGGCCATTGGTCAACCATACTTGTCAATGAAAACATAAACATACTAAGGCTCCAGGGGTGTTTGATAACCTAAGTCAAGTGATTACATTTCAGATAGGACTATCTTGGATGAAAAGTTACAAAATCATTTTCCGTCACAGAGCCTGTATTATGAAGATTATCATAATCCTCAATGATTAACATGAAATGAAATCATACAATCATTAATGATAATGTCATAAGAATATTACCATAGTTCCTTGGGAATAAGCCCATTTCGGGTATAAGCCAAATCCCCACTTTACACCCAATTTTACATACCAGCCTTAAGCTACGTTCACATCAAGCCCGGAGTCCGGAGAAAAAATCGTGAAAAATGGGTTTAGTGGTAAAGAATAGGACCGTTCACATAAAATTCGTACAATTTCCAATCCGGACTCCGGATCTGGTCCGATGGATCTGAGAGCCATTTGTATCCTACAATCATACGTTTTTTTCTCTTGGACCAATCAGCAACAAGCTTGGTTGGTTCGAACCAATCAAACGCATATGTACATAACCCGAACAACCGTGTTAACGTAGCTTAAAATTGAGTGAAAAGGGATTCCTCAGGTACAGTATAAGCCCCTCCCCCCCCCCAAAAAAAATTGATTCAATTTTGAATTCAAGAGGATGGGCTTATAACAGAAGAACTACAGTAATACTCAACCTCAGGAAAATGTATACTGTCTAGTTCACTTGGCACAAATTTTGCTTGTCAACCTATTAAATCTGGCCGTGAAAATATAAATTTAAAAACAAATAATAAAGTAAAATTACATTACATGTATTTGATAAATAATTTTCCATCATAAAAGTGAAGACAAAAACGCAAACCTACAATTTCCTAGTCGTTCTACATACCCATATTTGTCTGTATCTATAAAAAACTCCAGCAAGGAGCGGCAATATTATTTCTGCACTTTTATAGTACTTTTGAGGTCAGTGCCCATTTGTGATTGTTTTCTACGATTATTATGCCTACTTTTATTTCAAATTCTTTGTTACAGTTGTTGGTAGCCGAAAATAGGCCTATACCATTAAATACATTTCATTTAATTAATATTTAATTTGTTTAATTATCAGTATCAACATTATGTTATCTAATTACGTTGGAGTGGAGTGGAGTTGAATAGCATAGTAGTTAAGATGTTTGCCTTCTAATCCCAGGGTCCTGGCACTTTAAACAAATTAATTAAGACTCATGGGTCTAGTTAATTATCCATCTTCTATTAATAAACCAATATTTTATTCAACAATTATGAATAAATATACACTGAATTTTGAACTTGAATAAGACAATAAGATAATTGATATACTTTTTTTCATTAATTAGAATAAAGCATTATCACATTTTTTTAGGAGGCCTACCCTATAATTAAAGATGTGGA